CCAAACTTTATTATAATTCTGATATTCTATCAATATGAATGGTTATATACTTGGGTGTGGGTGTGTGGCTGTGTTCATGAATCAGGCAGGCCTGTCACAAAATATGAGTTATGGCGATTTTCTAATATTTTCCTGTCAAACAGGGCCACTAGTCGTAAAGCCAAAGAAAACAATTTTATTTCCTCCATTGTTTCCTTTTCATAACGCACATTTCCTTTTCTATAAGGTGTTATTTTGAAAAATAAATGATATTCAGCAACAGGATTCTACCAATACTGCAAAAACTCTACCATTAAAGGTATGGCCGGCTAAATACAAAATTGAACAAGGTTTGGTTGAATGTGAACTTTAATTCCACCTCCTCTTAGTAACTCTGTTTTGCCTCATTTCCTCATGACTTGTACCTTTTCCTCTGCTTTCTTTAATGACTATTGCAATTTCCTCTCTCTTAGACCATTACTATTTGTCTTTACCTATTGAATTTCCTTTAGCTCCTATAATTTAACTTCCCTGCCTATCATTTTTTTTTCCAGTTTTTAGCCTTCTCTACTAAGCATCACCTAGAATCACTGGGAGTTTAATCTAGGTAAAAATTGTCCTTTCATTGATTTTCCTAACACTGTGTACCATGCAGTCACATCAGCCATACAATCCACATACTGTAGATGGTACAGATAGATTTCAGAAATTATTAGAGCAACCCATATCCATAAAGGAATGCAGAGTGAGCCAATGATGTGAGAAGCACCAAAAGTTTGTTTTCCTTTAAAAGATCTTTGGATTATGTCTTTAATCAGGCAAGAGGTAAATAAGATTGAAGTGTTTTCACCCCATAAGAATTCTTTGCTAAACATAATATTTAAAAGGAGGGCCACAGTCTTGAGAACAAATAAATGTTTTTGTACCTTCTAAGTAACATTGACCTCTGAATTCACTTCATACCACTCTGGATACATTCCTTTCTGAACAAACAACAAGGTAATTTTCAGTAAGATAGTACTATAATAGCTATTGCCATTGGATTATCTTTTTCTGAAAAGATATCTTCATGATTTATTTTTTGGGATAACTTTTTTTCTACTTTAAGTATCTGGTTTTTTGGGTTTTTTTTACTGATTTTCTGCTTAAGAGATTGGATGAGTTTCTGTGGAATTCTTTTTAAAAATAGTTGGATGCGAGGCAAACATTGCTAGCAAAGTTTTTATATTTAAAAAATTTCCTGATTCTGATAATTTTTTTCATTGCAGTTCTAGAAATAGACTCATTTTTCCTTGGGAATTATTTTTCTAAATAAAAACAATTTTAAAAACTTACTTAAAAGAAAATGAAGATCCCAAAGTTTGACAGATTATAAATTTCAGATGCTGAAAGTTTGGGCAGATTATCCTAAGAGAGCAGTCTTTTAGGAGATATTAATATCTTGAGAGAGGTGTACATAGAGAAGAATGCACTTCCATATAATAATCTCTCCAAATAATTGGAGCTTTTTAATGCATCAATATAATCTGAGCCTTGAGACATATTAAAACCACTCCACTTCTTTTCAAAACTTTTAAATATATTCTCAATAGCAATTTAGCTTTTGACAGCAGTGTAGCTGCTATCGACAATGTTAGCTTTATCTTCTGAGTCAACTTCAACACCATGTGATGTGCATTGCAATAAGTTAAACAAGAGGCATCAACTTCAGAATACGAAACTATGGTCAAATCATCCCTAAAATGGAAATGGTTGTTGTTTGTGAATCAACCAAAGTCAGCTAAAAGCAGTTGCATCCATTAAGTCTATGTGAGCCTCTAGTAGCATGGCTGAACCTGGAAATTGTTCCAAATTGATCTTCAATCCCTTACCACAGTCTTGTGAAAACTGTAGTTCTTACTACTACTACTACTACTACTACTACTACTACTACTACTACTACTACTACTACCACCACTAATAATAATAATAATAATAATAACAATAATAATAATAATAATAAAGTTAGAAAGGACCTTGGAGGTCATCTAGTCCAACCCGCTGTTCAGGCAGGAAACCCTATACCATTTCAGACAAATGGCCGTTCAGTCTTTTCTTAAAAACTTCCAGTGTTGGAGCATTCACTGTTTCTGGAGGCAGGTTGTTCCACTGGTTAATTGTTCTAACTGTCTCCTTAGTTTCAGGTTGCTTCTATCTTTGATTAGTTTCCATCCGTTGCTTCTTGTCCTGCCTTCAGGCGCTTTGGAGAATAGCTTTACTCCCTCTTCTTTCTGACAACCCCTGAGATATTGTAACACTGCTATGATGTCCCCCCTTGTCCTTCTCTTCATTAAACTAGACATACCCAATTCCAGCAACTGTTCCTTATATGTTTTAGCCCCCAGTCCCTTAATTATGTTTTTTCTCTGTACTCTTTCTAGAGTCTCAACATCTTTTTTACATTGTGGTGACCAAAACTGGATGCAGTATTCCAAGTGTGGCCTTACCAAGGCATTGTAAAGTGGTATTAATACTTCACGTGATCTTGATTCTATCCCTTTGTTAATGCAGCCTAGCACTGCGTTGGCCTTTTTGCAGCTGCAGCACACTGCTGGCTCATATTTAAGTGATTGTCCACTAGGACTCTGAGGTCCCTCTCACAGTTACTACTATTGAGCAAGGTACCCCCTGTACTATACCTATACATTTGCTTTTTCTTGTCTAAATGTAGAACCTTACATTTTTCACCATTGAATTTCATTTTGTTAGATAGTGCCCAGTGTTCAAGTCTGTCCAGATCCTCCTGTGTCTTAAGCTTGTCTTCTGGAGTGTTGGCTATTCCTGCCAGCTTGGTGTCGTCTGCAAATTCGATAAGTTCCCCATCTATCACGTCATCCAATCATTGATGAAGACGAAGACTTCTTCCAGAGCTTCTCAGATTCTATTCACACAACTTAATTCTGATGCTCTGATCTAAAATACAAATTTCCAGATCCCTGCAGATGCCCATGAAAAATGCCATCTACCCACAACTCTTGTGAATTTCAATCTTTTCATTCTAATTCTTTTATATACTTCTTTAAAAATGTGATTCTATCAAAATTCTATCACTAATTTTCAATGGCCTCATATGTTTCATTTGTTTTGTCTCCTCTAATTCCTTCCCTTCCCTTTCCCTTTCCCTTTACCCTTCTCCTTCCTCTTCCTCTTCCTCTTCTCCTTCTCTTTCCCCTTCCCCTTCTCCTTCTCCTTCTTCTTTTCTGTTGGACTGTATACTGCTTCATATTTCTTGATCACCCACCACTGAAAAGCTGTCTGATTTTATAATTATATATATATAATTATGTTATAATTATAATTATATAATTATAATTATGTTATAGAAGTACTCAGTTTGCTTAAAGTTCTTAATATATGTATAGTTTTATGTAAGTAGGTATACAACAGTAGTATCAACTAGGAAACTTTGTTTTGTTTTGACACTGTTATGCATCACTAGTAATAATATGGTCCAGAATATTGAAAGGAAAAAGGCAAATAATTTAAGATCCTGCAATCCTTTTATAATATATCATTTCTATCTATAATTCAGAACTTGAAAAATTAAAGGAATTCAGATAATTGCCATATTTCCATATTGAAAGGATAATGTGGCATATGGGGAATACTGTGACATTCCATTTGTTAAAATGGAAATTGATGATTATTTGAATTATATTATTCATCAAATTTTGATAGAAATAGAAGCAGAAAAGGGATATAAAATATGAAGATTCTGAAATATACAGTTCCTTGAACATGGTAGCTTTCTCTTTATTCATTGCTAGTAACATTCATTCACTTTATTTGCAAAAGAACTTGTCCCTGCAACTGGAGGAAAAAGAAGTTAAATCTATCTTTAGAATAGAATTATATTAAGGGATTAGTCACAAAAGAAATTTCCCATTTAGTAAATCAGCAAGTAACCTGTAATCAAGTTGTGATTTCTTTCCTAGGCTATATTTTGCAAACAACAGGACCAATTTAGGTGGATGTTAGCAATCAGATTGGGGAGGAACCAAGTTAGGTTTGATTTCTCTGATTTTTGACTCCTTGGGGACCCGAAAATAGAAAAATGTGACAAGCATGGTAGAGTGAAAATAAGGATCACAACTTACTGAAAACTTAAAGGATGTCCAGTAAGCTAACTTTATGAAGAACTGCTAAATTCTAGAAAGTCTTTTTATCACTTGAAAGAGTAGAAATCATTATCTTCAATTCAGTTTAGGTTAAGCCCACCTAGATTAGTATAATAAATGATTCTGATTAGACCATTTGTGAACAGGTAGTCCTCGCTTAACGACTGTTAACTTAGCAACCATTATGACCCAATTCCAGAATTCTGTGCACATCCATCCACCCCACAGTCACATGACTGCATTTCAATGCTGGATAGCCCAGCCACCTTTAGTTGTAGCATTCCACAGACTTGTTACCAGAATTTACAATGAGTTTTTTTTTTTTTTGCTTGTTTCTGACCTTTTCGGCTATTACCAGCAAAAAATGCTGATAGGAATACATGAATTGAATTAACAACATGAAGTTCACTTAATGACAACTACAAAAATTTTGCAAAATCAGGCCCAATCACATGAGTGCCTTGACTTACAACCATCATGACTTATGATGGAAATTCCAGATTTCCTAACTGTTGTAAATTGATGACTACCTGTATTACATTCTTACTCTGCTTTTTCTTGAACAGTTTAAGATTGAGCATAAGACTTTTCTTCCATTGGCGTTTTATCTCCTCAACAATGTAGAAAGTAGGATAAATAGTTCAGTAGTATCAAAAGATGCACTGAAAAAGGATTATTACAAGATATATTCAGTAGGATCTTTAACTATCAAAGCATTACCTCCAATTTCTATTTTTAAACCACTAGGGTAAGTTTTTAATGGTCTGAACACTTATTTTCAATTATGTTCTGCACGTACTAAAGAACAGTACATTCTTAGGGCTCTATACATGTTGAAAATGAATACAAAGGAGCATTTTGTACCTCTCTGTTATTCATTAAAGCAGCAATACTTTTTGCAGGCTGAAGCATGCATCTGAAAAAGAAAAAGATGATGACACTTTAAGTTGCATCAATAGACTCCATAAAACACTTTCCCCATATTCATCCAGATGAACATCTGATTTGTCAGGTTCAAAGTTCTACTTCCAGATCATTGCAAAGCATGAATAGCTTCAAAATGTATCCTAAAGGAGGGATGGACAACTTACAGTCTTGGGCAACATGTATCCATAGTCCAGTTCCATTCATCTTTGTGAGCAATCAGTATTGATCTTTGGTCAGAGCAATTTCCTGCACCCTACAACTTCCCTAGCTGGGAAGAAAAGGGAGAGAAAAATGGCTATCAGAAGGAAAAGAGATGTACATATGTAACTATAAAAGTATAACATTTATACAGAATTATGGCAATCATCAATTCCCACGTATTTCCAAATGAGAAAACACCAAGAAATGTCAGTTTTCCATCCATGTTAGGGTCTATATCCCTATCTTATGCTTCAGCTGCAGAAGCCATCAATAGGATGTAAGCAGCAACTTTTACACAGATCGTGATTCCAAGTTGCAATCTGTCTGCCCCTTTTGCATTTCCAGCACAGATTGTTCAGACATATGCACAAATACATTTTTTTGCAGAGGGCTAAACAGGGGGATATCTGTATCTTAATTGGTGTTACCAGGAATGTACCTTATTAGCCTCCTGTTCTAAGGAGGCAGTATGCCCTGGTAATTTACTTTAGTAAAGGGGAGGCAAAGCATAGAAAGTAGCTCAGATGTCAGATGGAATAGAATTATCTATTTGTGCTTCCCTCCATATAGTTTTTCTACTCTCATGGTACTTGACTGAATGCAAGTTGACAATAGAGGATTGATCTTTCAGCCTACGCCTGCTTCTAGAGATCATATACTGATGAATCAGGTTAGACAAGACACTATGGATGCTTGAACAGAATTGCAATAGATACTCTAACACAAAACGCATCCTTGTTCTTGTTCCTCTTTTTATGGTGCCCAAACTTCCAACATCTGAAATTTATGTGTATCTCAATGCATACACCTTTATGGACATTGTGAACCCTGCTTCCCTTTTCCAACTTTCACTCAGGTATCTTTCACTCCACGAAAACACAGTTCCTCATAAACACATACTTCTATTTATTTAATGACTGTCCAATCTATACACCTAAAGGAAAATCACACTTAGGATCCCAAATACCCTACCTAGTTGCTCTGTCTCAGATAATTAAAGTCAATGAAGCAATTAACACCAAATGATAATATAATAATATAAGAAGACTAAATATTCAATTAGGCTCCCTACCTTTTGAGATGAGAATTTATTGAAAGATATTAAAAGCTAAGATACATTATTGGTGAGAAAATTGAAGCCTGAATTTGTCAGGATACTTCACTTTATTGATAGATTTTTCACCATCTTCCTTGAAAATGGGCTTCTTTTCATGGCCCTTTCCTTCTTCTGTTTAAATCAATCTTTCTTTACTTGCTCTGGTTCTTTTTTCGGATTGGGTCTCCTGCATAGCTGTCCAACCTTGGGCCACAGGGTCAATTCAAAAGAGTCCTGTTTATCATCTAACAGTGACATTTTGCCAAAACAGGAACAGATCATGACATTTTATTTCACTGTATTTATTTATATTCTTCAAATTCCTACCATAATTTATTTCCTTCCTCTTTTAGTACATATCAATGTTTACAACACAGGCAGTAAACATTCAGAGAGAAAGTATAAATAGTAGGTCTGACCTTATCAGCAAATGTAAGCATGTAACTTTCACAAAAAAATTGGGTGCAGTACATAATTCAGGAGAGTAAAATGTTCTGAAGTTCATGAGATTGTTCTATTGCTACAAATAAATGTTCCTTAAAATAATTTCAGTGCTAAGTAGATAAACTGCACTGATCATGGATGTCTTTATTTTAATGGAATCTTCAATTATCCTGTACATGAATCATAAGAACAAACTCAACAATAGTAGTTTAGTCATGGTCAATAATTATTAACAGATTATTCTCCACATTCTCATCCTATTAATATTTCCCCATTCTTCTGGGGACAGTCTGAGACTTAAATGCAGTTTGTAATGTAGATAAGGCTCCAAGTGAATACTGAATTGATAGTTGTGTTGTCCTGGTTAAAATTTTATTTGCTTCAAAATTAAAGTGGCATTTTGGTCATGCTTTTTAATGCTCGCGCATTTATCTCTGACCTGCCAAAGATAGTGATGTTTTCTTCTATTATTTTTTCCACTGTCACAGGATACAGGATATTATGCTGCAGTATAACAGGATGTAAGTGCCTGGTTTCTCTTTTCCCACTTTTCTACCAAGAAAATGATCTAAAATTAATATTGCAGGATCAATAATGATAAATCAAAATCACTGAATGCCTATGGTCAAAGATGGAGTCACACAAATTGAATTACTATGCTGAAAATTATTGCATATTTTTATTATTAATCTTATAGGAAAGATTAGGTTACAATTTTATAAAGCCAGGGGGGAAGATTAGGGGAAGGGACAAATGTGGGTTTTTAAAGGCAACATCATTGCAAAAGAAGACCAGACAGCTGACTTTATCTGATTTAGGATGAGTTCATCATTCTTTTTTTTTCTTTCTCTCCTTTTCAAAGGGAATTTTAAAGCTATGTACAAACATTCACATATACACTGGACAAGAAATATCCCAAGTATCTTAATAATGAATACGTAAGGTAGCAAACATTTCAGCTCAGCTTTTACAACCATATAGAATTTGTTTCCTGCAAGGAGGCCACATGACAATGGGCAACAGGGAATAAATTGACTGTGCTGCTTCCAAGAAAAGCAAAGCTCATTAAAGTAGGAAACAGAATCTGGAGAAGTCAAACGTCTTCGTGAGCTACCCCCATTTATTTCACTAAAGGATTGGCATTTAACTAGGCTTAAGTCAAATTTCCCACTGTGTTTTGCTTCTCATGACTATCAAATGTTTTAAGAAATATAGGGGTTTTTTCCAGTGTTTGAAATAAATTTTATTTTGACAGAGTAGCTAAGGCAATGAACTTTCAAACAATTTGGTAAAGGTTTTTTTTTTTTTTGCTATTATAAACAATATATTTTTGTTGCTTAATAAAAATATTGATTGCTTTTTGGCAGACCATTTTTACAGAAATCCATGGCATAGAGAATATGTTAGTATGAAAAAAGGACAAAGCCTGATTCACAATTCATCCATAATTAAATCTACAACTGCTTTTTATATAGATTATATCAGCAATCTTAATAGAGAAGTATAAAAATGTTGGAATTGAGAAGGAATGGTAAGAACATGAAAACCATCTATTTGGATCATTTTAGTAATTCAGCCAGCCCAATATACTATTCTGTATGTTAGTATATTAGTATCATGATACTAGTATATCCTCAGAGATAATATTGAACAGTTCTACAATAGTAGTAGGTTATGATGATGATGTTGAGTCATACAGATGTTTAAACTGGATTTGGCATTTGGGATTTGGCATCAGTCTTTCTCAGGAACCTGAGACAGGGAGATATTGTTGTTTGATGGTGTTAGAGGTATCATTGTAGGGTGTAAGCTGTTCCAAATAGAACTACCTTTTGCAATTGACCAATGGTAATTGTGTCAATACCAATTGTGTTCAAGTGGAGTTCCAGATGTTTTGGCATTGCACCCAAGGCACCTATTATTATTGGTACTAGCTTTGCTTTTTTTGCCACAGTCATCTATTTGCCAATCTTTGTATTTAGTGATTTTTCTCTAGTTCTTTCTCTTTTCTTCTACCATCTCCAGGTATTGCCATGTCCACTATCCAGACTTTTGTCTCTTTCTTATGAACAATTGTTATATGTTATGTGGCAGGTTTTTATCTGTTTGAATTCTGAAGAACTCTTAGCTTCATTTTCTATTATTTTGTCTATCTATGGGCTCACCAGTTCTTGCAGGGAATTGGTATTTCTTGCAGATATCCAATGCATCATTGTTACTTTGTTATGTTATTGTTTGTAGTCAGTTTGTGTGATCTTCTTGCAACACATTTTAGAATCAAAGACTATGTATGTTTGGATGAAAAAAATGTAAGGTGTGGAGAAAGCAAGCTTAGATATGCATTATTGTTGGGAGGACAAGTCAGTGATATATTGGGAAATACAGCTTTGAAAGAAATTCCACAACTGTATAGGAATTACAGTTGTCTTTCAACCATGTGTAGAGTAGCGTATTCAGATAGTTTCCCACATTCATTTGAAGAGTCAAGATCTCAAGAGACTATTGTTTAAAGAAATCCTGAGGAAATGTATGAAGATGTTAAAAAATCCAAAGAATTAAGGCCATTTTATAGCCAGTATGATTAATATGGTGGGAGGTAAGATTTTAAAATATCATATTCAAAATTATGAAGAAAATTATACTGTTATTTCAAACCATGCAATTTACTGACTGAAACTATCAAGCTTAGGAGGTGATAGTGAAGGAAGCAGGATCTCATGGTAAATGAGCACCTGTCCAGCCTAGACGAGTTCAAATCACCAGGACCAGATGGATGACACCCCAAGGTTCTCAAGGAACTGGCAGATGTGATCTCAGAACCACTGAATTATATTTTTCAAAGATCCTGGAGCATTGGGGAACTACCAGAGGACTGGAAAAGAGCTGATGTAGTTCCCATCTTCAAAAAAGAAAAAAAAATGGTTCCAGGAAATTACAGACCTATCAGCCTGACATCAATACCTGGGAAGATTCTGGAAAAGATAATCAAACAACGAATCAGCGAACACCTACAGGCAAACAAAGTCATTACTAAAAGCCAACACGGGTTTGTCAAAAACAGATCATGCCAGACAAATCTTATTACATTATTTGACCAAGTGACAAAATTAGTGGACCAGAGGAATGCTGTGGATATAATTTACTTGGACTTCAATAAGGCATTTGACAAAGTAGATCACAACCTACTACTTGATAAGATAGAAAAATGTGGGTTAGACAGCATCACCACCAGATGGATCCGTAGCTGGCTGACCGGCTGTACTCAGTGTGTGGTCCTCAATGGAACCACATCTACATGGAGGGAACTGTGTAGTGGGGTGCCTCAGGGCTCTGTTCTGAGCCCAGTGTCCTTCAACATCTCCATCAATGATTTGGATTAGGGGATAGATGGGGAACTCATCAAATTTGCAGACGACACCAAGCTGGCAGGAATAGCCAAGACTCCAGAAGACAGGCTTAGGATACTGGAGGATTTGGACAGACGTGAACACTGGGTGCAATCTAACAAAATGAAATTCAATGGTAAA